ACCTGGCTGGGCTCTTATGACCCCTGCCACCCCCAGTGCTCCTTCCTGCCCATGGCAAGGGGTCGGACTAGATGAACTGTCTAAGTCCCTTCTGACTCATTGATTCTATGATTCTAAGGAGGTGATCCTCCCCCTCTATGCAGCACTGGTCAGGCCACAGCTGGAGTACTGCATCCAGTTCCGGGCACTGCACTTCAGGAGGGATGTGGACAACATGAAGAGGGTCCAAAGGAGGGCCACTCGCATGATTGGGGGCAACATGGCAGGCCCTGCAAGGACAGGCTACGGGACCTGAACCTGTTCAGCCTTCACAAGGGAAGGCTCACGTGGGATCTAGTGGTCTGTTACAAACTAGTCAGAGGGGACCAACAAGCACTGGGGGAGTCCCTGTTCCCCTGAGCACTCCCAGGAGTGACAAGTAATAACAGTCACAAGCTAGTGGAGGGTAGATTCAGGCTAGACATCAGGAGGCGCTACTTCACTGTCAGGGCGGCTAAGATCTGGAAACAACTTCCAAGAGAAGTGGTGCTGGCTCGTACCCTGGGGGTCTTTAAAAGGAGGCTGGATAAACACCTTGCCAGGGTCGCTTGACCCCAGTACTCTTTCCTGCCATGGCAGGGGCTCAGACTTGATGACCTGCTCAGGTCCCTTCCTACCCGACTAACTAAGAAACTATGAATCGCTACCCCCTGAATTGGCTGAATCCAAATCTGAAGCCAATGCTAGCTGCTTCGTACAGGCCTTCTCCCTACTATCTCTCACAATTTCTCACAGAAACTATTCAAATGCCTTCTTAAAACGAGTTCAGTTTTTTTGTCCCTAGCATTCCTATTCATAATCTGATAACTAGGAAACTACGTCTGTTTGACATCCAGAATTTACTCATGACCAGTTCATGCCTACTTGTTCCTCTTCCAAAATTTTCTTGTAGCTCAAATAGTTCTTTTCCCTCTACAGTGTTTACTCCTCTGTTGTATATATAAGACGGCAATCGTGCCCACTGTCAGCCTTCATTTTGCTAAATTAATTAGGCCATGTCTTTCGGTCTGATTTATCCATAGATTCATAGACTGTAAGTCTGGAAGGGACATCAGAAGATCATTGGGTCTAGCCCCCCTGCACCACGCGAGAAAGACAACTGGGGTCAGGTGACCCCAGCAAGGTGACTATCTAGTCTCCTCTTGAAAATTTCCAGGGTAAGCGATTGCACCACCTCTGGAAGAATCTTATTCCACAGTCTGGACACCCCAACTGTGAAGAAGTTTTTCCTAATGTTGAGCCTGAAATGGTCTTCCAGGACTTTGGGGCCATTTCTCCTGGTTCTCCCAAGGGTGCCCTAGTGAACACAGCAAGCTCTCCATTATCCTGGTTTATCTTCTCTGGACATATTCCAGTTTAAATTCATCTTTCTTGAATATGGGTGACTCGAATAGCCCATGCTATTCCAAATGAGCTCTCTCCAGAGCCTTGTACAATGAAATGATTACATGCCTATCTCTGCTGGAAAATACCTGGGAACTGCCTTTGCTTTTTTTCCCCACAGCCATATCACTTTGGTGATCAACTAATTCATCCAGGTCTGTCACCTCCTCAGTCTCCCAAAAGATGAGCTCGTATTTTATTGCCAAAATATATGTTATTAATTTTTAAGGGTATGATCTTGTACTCTATACTATTAACTTTCATACCAGTACTATTATGTTAGCCATCAAGGACATGCAGATCATCCTGTAATGTACTTCAGTCTTCCTCTTGCATTGACAACACCCCCCAACTTTGAGTTAGTAGAAAGCATTTTACACAGTTACACTTTTTCTGCTAAGACTCTTAATGAAAATATTAATCAAGATCTGTCCAAAGACTGATCCTGAGGCATTCAACCAAAAACCTGTTTCCAGCCCGATACTTTCTCAT